AATGGTGTTGTGCATTTCTTCATGCCTCGTTTCCAAGTCCTCTGTTGACCTCCACGTGGGTTCGTCTAACCCGGATTAGCTACAGCGACTAAAGTGCGATGTGGTAGACGGTAGCTGGACATACGCAATACGTGCCCTCGCCAACGAAGCCTACTAATCTGAATTCGATGTGCTAGGAGGTTTATGCCTGACAGACTTCCAAACACACAACATCTTACCTCCAGGTTACTAACCCTTTCGCTCCATTCATCATGGGCTAAGCTAAGTAAACACCGATAATCGAAAACCTCTAGCTGATGGATATCTGCTCGCAAGCTCAAGGTCTCAACCATAAAGCAGAACTGAACGGACCCTAGCACAATGTACACGATCTTTCAAATTCAGTGAAACGTCGCTTCTACGGTCCTACGTATGCTGCTGCAGCCTTGGAAATGTGAGCAGCTATCTCCTTTGCTGCACTACCGTCATTGGTCACGCAACTACCCAAGTATGAAAAGTGATTAATTCCTGGCTGTTTAGTTTCAGAGCGGGGGTACGCGACACCCAGTCTTGCAGCATCATTTTGTACTTTGAGGGTGCGAAGCACATACCGAATGTGGTAACCGCACCTGTTGGTCTATCAATTGCGCTTTGCGCATCTTCCAAACATTCAAACAGACAGACGATGTCATCAGCGTACTCCAAATCCAACAGTTTCCTCCAGCTGTCCATTCGATTCCTACGTTTTGGAGACCACTAAGTGCGTCCTCCAGTATTTCGTCTACGGCGAAATTGTATAGGATCGACGAAAGAGGGCACCCTTGAAGAACGCCGCTGCTGGTGATGAATAGCCTACTTAGTTCGCTGTCAATCCTCACTCGACCAGAGGTATGCGAGTACAGTGACCTCAGTAAGTTAACGTACTTCTGGGGCATTTCTTTTCGAAGAAAGGAATCCATCAGATCTTCACACTCCACTGAGTCGAACGCCCTTTCCAGATCAAGAAACACTGCGATCGTTGGTTGACGGTCAGTGTGATGCAGCTCAAGGGCCTGCCGCATCTTAACAATTTGATCAATTCATTCACGGCTAGGCCGGAATCCGGCTTGCTGTTCGCGGATGTTGGTCTCTCTTAAAGGAGTCAGACGCCAAAATATGACGGAAGCTAGCACTTTAGTGACGATCGGTGGTTTTCGCAATCGTTGCGAGATCCTTTCTTAAAAATGAAAACGATCAGTGATTCGCCCCCACGATGAGGGAATGCTCTCTTGTGTCCAAATGTTGCGCAGTACGGTAGTAATGGAGCTTACTAGGTTATCGCCACCCATCTTGAAAAGAATGGGAGGGCACTCATATGGTTCTGCTGCCTTTCCTCGCGTCAGAGCTTGAATGCAGGACCGAACTTCTGCTTCTGTTGGAGAATCGCACGACACTGCCCACGGATCTTCAGTTACAGATTAAGTGACCTGTATAGCGGTAGGCTAGTTGAACTGTTCACTGAAGTATTCCGCCCAGCAATCAAGTCGTTGATCCCTATTGTGAATAGCTTATCCACTCGTATCGTTGACTGTTTCACTAACTGAGGCTCGCTGACCTCCCGTATTGCGTATCAATCAGAACGGTCTTTGACTATTCCCTGATGCAGCCGCTACTTCCATTTCACTAGCTCTCGTTGCCCACCAGTTCTCACGGTCTTTCCTGAGGCTCCTCGTGAGGTAACGTTGTAGATGCCACCTAACTCTGTTTTAATCATAGCAGAACGGGACTTGTCGTTTTTTCTCCATCAGGGATACTGACTCATGAGATATCCAATGCCTCCGACGGGTTTGAGGCTCAGACCCACAAGCAACATTCGCTGCGGGAATGTGTTGCTCGCCTAATCTGATCCCACCGCTCATTTACATCATCACGTTGAGGCGCGCTTAGGTCACGCACTAGCTCTGACTCATAGCGTGCACAAACGGCTGGAGCAGATAGTCGATGGTGAGTTATCCGAGTTTGCTGGTTTTTTCGTCGACCAGTCAACCCGAGTGAACTGCACCAAAACTAATGCGTGGTCAGACTCAACGAAGATAGTCCAATAAGACCTGTAATTTTGCACTAAGCCCCGCCAATGGTAGCTTACTGCTATGCGGTCGATTGGAGTTAACGTACCAGTTGAACTGGAGCACCACGTTGCCATCCATCGAATGCTGTGTCGGAAGTTGGTACTGGATAAGAACAGATGATGGTCTGCGCAGAACTGAAGAAGTCGATCGCAGAACTACCACCTAGGCAAGCTTCTGATGCGCTCAGTTTTCCAACCTGTGCGTTAAAGTTACCTACCAGTAAAACTATGTCGGAGCTTCGATTCATCCGAATGAGATCGGTGAGTTCATCGTAAAAAGCGTCTTTTTGTGTGTCAGAACCGCAATTAATCGGTGCATACACTGATATGACGAACAAACCTTTTGGTGTTGCTTCCCTTCCGGATGCTGATTGAACCTTGGGGAGGCACTGTACATAGACGACTATTGACGGGCCTCGATAAGAGAGGACTCAGCCTTGTTACTGAGTACAATACTTACCCTGCGCTAACCTATTGCGCGGGCTTCGTCCTCACCTGATGTGCGAAGAACGTATCTCGAAGACAAATCTGGCGCACTCAAGTGGCTTGCAGTAGTAGGATCCTGAATCCGAGTCTCCGACACGTAGCAAATATCGATTCCTAAGGATTCCATTGTGTGCGCCAGACAAGCTTGTTGACCTACTTGCATCAGAGTCATCACGTCGAAGGTCCCCAGATTCATTGATTGACGAGGCTTCCGAATCTGCACTTCATTACTTACAGTGTTATTTGGCAACGACCTTAGGCGAGCGACAGTTGCTTAAGGGACTATTACAGATCGGAAGAAGGGAAAAATGGAGAGGGCTGGGCACGGAAGACAAAAAATTAAACAAAGGTTGGGATAGAGAAATCACTGTACTAGGCTAATGTACCAAAAGTCACTGGCATATTGATTCACATCTATTGTACAAACCTGTTAACTATGTTCGGAAAGTTTAATTTGGAATATCGGTACTAAGCTGCGCTAGGAGAGTCGCAGCCAGTACAATAAAAGCAGGTGAAGTACTGAAAAGTCATCATCCCCAAGATTCCCGTGCATCAAGTGTTGAAGGTTTGAGGCTTCTTCACCCGTTGCATCGTCTTTTATATCCTTGTTGGAACACCTTAACGTTTGTAACTGAAAAGCTGGAAACAAAACTATTGTCTTTGCGAAACCATGCATCCCCAGATGCGAACAATATGGACGTATAAACCCTTATCTGTTTGACGAATTACGTATCCGAAACACCAATCATTCTATTCCAACGGATGTTTGACGATATAGCTCTCCCGCAATTGTGAAAATAAAACAAAATACAAAGCAAATTACAATAGTGCCTGTTGTAGTGACCCTGCTAACGAATAATTTGAATCTTCCTTCCAGTGTTGTCCAATTCATTTGATCATTTGTGTCTGGTTCTCTGACGGAACGCTTGGAAAGACATTCTTTCGCCAGCTCAACATGTGTTCCGGTAAGGATGACCCTGTTTGGTCTACTTGCTTCTTGTTCGAGATGAATAAACTAGAACAGTCGACGAATTGGACGCGGTGGACTTCTTGAAAGTATTCGATCTGGTGAACCATTAGATACTGTTGCAGAGGTTTTACAATTACGGCATTCGAGGTCTCGTGCTTGACTGGATTAAACAGTTTTTACCACAGTTTTTGTTTCTGATTCCCTGTGCGGTTCTATCAGTGTCACTCGCGGGGTTCCCCAACTTGGTCCCCAACTTTTGATCACATTCATAAATGATCTACCAAGTGTTCTAGGGCCAAAACAATACTGTTTGCAAACGATAACAAAAACTGAAACACAATGACACAACCCGAGGACTCACTAAAACTCTAAGAAACATTTAACTCAGCTTTCCAGTGGTCCATGAAGAAGTTCATTGAATTCATTGTGTTTAAGTGCAAAGCCCTATTCACATATATATATATATATATATGTGTGTGTGTGTGTGTGTGTGTGTGTGTGTGTTTGTGTGGTATGAACTCGGTACAGCTCTGAATAACGTGACACCCATTCGTTGCGTTGAGAGGGGAGTGAATGCAGACGACCGACCTGCAGACCAAAGTCTTTATCAGTTGAACGAGTCGAACAGAGGACTTCAAGTTTTCCGGTTTAGTTTCATGAAATTTTACCTGATTCGCGTTTGGTGAATATATTGGTTCTCCATAACACGCGCACTCTGCTCTCGCCACCTCTGTTTTTAAACAAATTCCCCTCTCATCCTGGATGTGGTTTGGCCGCACGGTCTCCCACCCCTCAACCCATTCTGACAAACCATTTTTACTTCCCCAATACCTGTGCATTCCATCCCAGGTGCAGTGTTCTCACTCAGAATCCAGTTTGCAAGAAAAGGAAAACCAAATTGATGGTCTCAAACGGTGCGTTCTTTTTATGTCATTGTTTCCAATAAATCTTACTCAAATTTGTCCCCTTTCTTTGTTCTCATCCATTTTTATTTTTATTTATAGTGTTATAAACTTAAAAGATGTCTCCTTTGTCATCCATTATTCACAAAAGCCTATGCACAAGGACTCACAACTCGAAAGTGCGATTTTTGTGGGTGGTAGCGATGTTTGGCTCATTTTAACGGACGAAACCTGTGGGCAATTTCCCCCGTGGTTAGAGGAATGTAAAAGCATAAACTATTGCGAGCACCGGCCTTCTCCTTTGGGTTATGTAGTTTTTGATAGGCTAACGGGTTCATTTGTTCAGTCTAATCGGTGATTGAACTCAGTACACGGTATAAGTGTGCGTCGTAACCTGTGGTGTTGCATGCGTTTCCTCACTTCTCGCCTCTGTTGTGCGTTTATTCCCGATCTTTTCTCTACTGGTTGATCAGAAGGCCAGTGAAAAGATACTAATCAAAATCAGTGCATGGACATTTCGACTGTACAAAGTGAAACTGGAAAGCGTAATATTCCGTCTGAGGAATTTATGTCTATTCTGCAATAATCAAACGTTTTATTTTTCTCCGTTTAGTGACCTTTTGGGTTTACAGAATCAGTTGACAGAGGCGGAGGCGCGTGCAGAACACGGAGCCCGGTCATCTGCTAGTGAACAAGCGCTCCGNGAACAGTTAGATGCGACCCGTATCGAGTGTAATTCGCTCAAACGCAGCTCGGACGAACGTAATTCACAGTGGCGTGAGGAACGAGACTACTATCAGGTTCGTGTTGGACTACTATTTCCATCAGTAATTTTGCCCGCCCGGTACGAAGACTGAAATGTTTTGTTCCTTGCAGTTTGTCATCTCCCGAGACAGCGTCCGAAAGTTTTATCAATTGAAATGAGACTTTTCCCTTAGTTTTTCGGCTTCCCTGATAAATTTATGAATCTATCTGTCTGATACACTATGCAACAGAATTCATCCAGAGTTTTGTCCAGAAGTTGGAGTGATTCCAGGAAACTTTTATTTTGGACAGTCAGTCGTAACGAGGATAACCCAACTCAGAACCTGTAGCCAATTAAGACGGTTGACAACGATCCAGTCATTCATTTGTTGTGCATATGCATTCCAGTGCTTGTTATCTTCTTTTTCTTTTTTACTTCGTAAAGCCGGTGTTCTTTTTCATCACTTGTAAACTCCATGCCTAGACGTGAAAGGCTATCGAATAAAAACAATCATTTTGGAATCCAGTATCATGACGATCCGGGCGGTTGTAACGAGCAATCACGGTCTGTTGGAGCTTGTGTAGGGAATCATGAGTTTAATTAAACTAATAAACCGTGATCAACATGACACTGGACTAAAGGTGGCATTGATATAACTCACCTGTTATTACCGCACGGATCGTCTCGATATAGGATCCGCA